GTGATGCTGATGCTGTGGTCCCAGGACCACACTTGGAGAACCACTGTTTTACCCTTGTAGTTCTCATCCCTGGATACACTTTGGAATGAAAAATTGGAGAGCTTTACAGAATGCAGATGCCTGTGCTTCCACCCCTTCCCCCAATCTGGTCTCCATGGTCTAGGGTGCAGCATAGGCAGGGGGTATTTTAAAGCTCCCCGGGTAATTTTGATATGTGGCCGGTGGAGAACTACCCCTCTATGCCTCTCCAACTGCTCATCTCTTTCTCAACTCCTATAGGTGCCTCAGAGCTACTCTCCCTGCCCAGTGATGTCTTCCCAACCCTGGCTGCGCAATGTGGTTCCCTGGGGAGCGTCAGAAAAATGTAGCTTTTCCCAGTCCCCAAAGATGATGACACACTGGCTCTGGGCATCTGCATTTCTTTTCAGAACTCCACTGGTGATTCTGATGTGCATTTAGGGTGAGGAGGGCAGCACCAGTATGACCTGCATGTGGCTGCAAGATCACCTCCCTCTCACCTGCTACAGAGCTTAGAGTGGCTCCTTCTTGCTCATGGAAATCATGCCATCCTCGGGTGGGCATCTGCCTGGGACTCCAAGCTTCTTGACATAGACTCTCTGCAAATAATAAGTCACTGATGATTCTTCTCCACACTCCATGCCTTTACTTAGGACAGTGCTCCTCAAAGTGTAGCTTCAGATCAGCATCAGCATCGCCTGGAACCTGGGTAGAAATGCAAAGTCACAGGCCCCAACCCAGGCCTACAGAATCAGGAATTCCCGGGGGAGGAAGGAGAATGGGAGAGCAATCTGCAGGTGATTCTGAGACTTGTAAAGATCAAGAACTCTGTGTTTAAAGCTACTTTCTCCACCCGGAATCCCTTTTCTGCCAGTCCAAAAGAGTCCAAAAATAATACCTTCCCACCAGACACAGTGCCTCATGCCTGTAATCCCAGCACTTTGGGAGGCCAAGGAGGGCGGATCATTTGAGGTCAGGAGTTTGAGACCAGCCTGGCCAACAAGTGAAACCCCGTCTCTACCAAAGAAACAATATATATGTATATACACACACAAAAATTGGCCAGGCATTGTGGCATGCACCTGTAGTCTCAGCTACTCAGGAGGTTGAGGTGTGAGAATCGCTTGAACCTGGGAAGTGGAGGTTGCAGTGAACCGAGATCGCACCACTGCACTCCGGCCTGGGCAACAGAGCAAGATTCCATCTAAATAATAATAGTAATAATAATACCTTCCTTCGTTCCTAACAACAGCTCAGAACTCCCCTTCTTGGGGCAACCTCCCCTGCTTGTCCTCCCCTTAGACTGGGCCCTGGAGTGCTCAGATGGTACATCTCAGTTTGCTCCGGTAACTAACATTGCTGACTGCATGGCCAGTACATTTCACAAGCCGCCACTGGGGAATGCCCGCATCAGACCTGAGCTCTACTTCCTTGGCTGGGACAGCAGCGTGGGGTTGTGGGAAGGTCCACTGGCCCAGGAGTTGGCCCAGCCTCTTTGCCTCTTTTTCTCTTTTTCTTTTTTCTTTTCTTTTCTTTTTTTTTTTTTTTTTTTTTGAGATGAAGTCTCACTCTGTCGCCCAGGCTGGAGTGCAATGGCATGATCTCAGCTCACTCCAACCTCCGCCTCCTGGGTTCAAGCGATTCTCCTGTCTCACTCTCCCGAGTAACTGGGATTACAGGCGTGTGCCACCATGCCCGGCTAATTTTTTTGTATTTTTGTAGAGATGGGGTTTCACCATGTTGGCCAGGCTGGTCTTGAACTCCTGACCTCAAGTCATCCACCCACCTCCGCTTCCCAACATGCTGGGATTACAGGTGTGGGCCACCACGCCCGGCCTGGGCCCAGCTTCTTATCCCCCACTCTGCCACCAGCTCCCTATGCAACCATGGGCTGCTCAGTCAACCTCTGTGAACTCAATTCCACTGGAGGGGCCCATGGGAGGAGCAGCAGTAACACACAAGGAAGAGCTGCTGGAGCCCAGTCACCTCCTGAGCACCCACTGTGTGTCATGGTCTGTCTGGGGACTCTTCACCGCCTGAGGCATGGTCTACAGCCTCAAGGGGCTGCCGACATTCCAGAATAATCACAGAGGGAACTGTAACCCAGTGATGCAAGTGCTCTGCAGCCATTAAGGAAAACGAAGCAAATACTTGGTACTTACGAAGTGTTTAGAATAGTGCCTGACCAAGAGTAGGTGCTATGTTATTAGCGTCCTCATTCGCATCATCATCTATATGCACAGTTATGGACCAATCACCAAGATGTAGTTCTAAGTGAAAATATTGAACACAGAGCAATGTGCATAGCATGCTGTTAGTGTCTCAGCAGGGTGGCATGTACCCATAATGCTCATATAGGCATGGATTTCCTAGGGAAAGAGACCCAGGAATGGGGTGTGGTGGCTGCCCTGGGAGGTTCATCGGTACCTGGGCTCGGGGGGAATGGGAGAGGCGTGTGTGCCTCTTCCACTTTTAACATCTGGAAAATTTGCCATGCCTCTGCTCATCATGTCTCTGACATTTTTTATGTTAGGAAAATCAAAACATGGCAGTGTTTGGGGCTGTTTCCTGCAGGGATTTTATCCAGGCTCCGGGGATGTAGGATATAGGGATGGCCCCTCCCATTCCAGCCTACACTGAGGCCTTCTGGATGAGAGTGGGCAGAGATCAGGGAGACAGGAGCCCTTGCCTCCTCCTCTCACCTCATCACCCTTCGTGCCCTTGAGCCGCTTCCTTCTGGGTCCCATGCTTGTCCCTCTTCTCTACTCCCCAGCACACGTGTGTGCACACTCACACAATACGCCTGCTCCAGACCCCAGAAGCTATAGCCCATCAGAGGCCGGGGACAGTTGCTCCTCTAGGGTGTGGTCCCGGGGTCCCTCCCCTCCCATGACCCAGGGTCTCACCGCCTTTTCTCTCTGGTTTCTTCCTCCTCTCCATACCTCTCCGGCTCCCTCTGTCTGTCTCCATATCCTTTGACTGACCGACTCCCACTGACAGAATTTGGTAAGTGAGCCTCGGAAGGGCAGGGGTTGGGCTTGGGGAGGGCTCATGGTGGGCACAGTGGGGAGGGGGCTTTGAAAAGGGCACAGCTCTGCCTCCCCCACCCTCTCAGGCCCCCAGCTCTTGTGGTTGAGGGATCGAAGGTTCAGGGGAAGGAGAGGAGTTGGTGTCACCTGTTCAAAGCTGTCACACCCTGCTGGCTTCAGCTATTAGTGCCCCTTCGGGCATTTAATTGGTCCCTTCCATCTGACGGGACGCATTCCACAACAGGGAGCGCTGCAACCTCCACAGCTCGACAGGCCCAGAGGAGCCTTGCCCCCACATCCCCTGGGGAGCCGCTTTGGGCTGAGGCCCTGGAGCTCTGCGGCTTGCCTGGACCCCAGAATTGGCAAGAGAGGGTTCAGGGAGCTCAGCTTCCACCTCTCCATCCAAACCTCTGTGCCAGGAACAGGGCACAGGCCTGTCTCCAGCCTCTTAGAAAAGTCTAAATGCAGCAAGGGCATTTGCCGGTTTGCTAAAATAGGAAAAACCCAGGAGACTGATGGGTAAACATTAGCATGCATTCACTCCACAAGTGCATTTGAGCATCTCGGGGGCAGCCCCAGGGGCCCATGAATCTTGTGAGCTCTCAGGCTTCACTGGGCGTATCATTTCCTGATCATTCCCCCTCTGCCCTGAGCGGGATGGGAACCAGCCTTTCAGGGAATATCCCCTTGGACCATGGAGAGTCTTTGGGGCCAGGGTGACCTGGCAGCCCCCTCTCACCAGGAACAGGTTTCTGAGAGGAGTCCCACAGCATCCCCTAAGCAACCAAGAAGTGAGGGTGGGCTTCCCCTGCCAGCCACTGGTTCAAGACAAAAGGGCCCATGTGCAGACGTGCTGAGTTGGCCACTGGGCTAGGGGTGGGCTATGCACCATAAGCCAGAGCTTCTGCCTCTGGACTGACAGCCAAGGTCAATGACCTACTAGGCACCTACAAGAGGGGTCAGGAGGAGGCTCTTACACATCACAGGCTACCTGCCCAGTTGGAGGGGAGTTTGGGGATGCAGGTGATCCCCTTGCCCCAGTGCAGGCAGGAACAGGAAGTAGAATCACTTTCTGAGCAGGCCAGACCTCAGGGGAGTCAGTAAGCTGAATCTCCCGCCTTCAGCCATGTGTCCTCCTCCTGCTGACCTGGAGACTTCAGTCACGTCACATGCTTTGAGTGAGGAGAGTCAGGTGGCCTCTGAGGGGCTCTGTGAGCCACAGCCCTGGTTAGAATAATCAGAAACACCTGAACTTGAGTGAGGCACCCACATCCCTGAAACGACGGGCTTGGACCTCCAGGACACGGGAGAACATGTGATAGGGGTAGCCACCCTGTGCTCAGCCTGGGATCCAGGGCCCCCCTGCAACTGGCCACAGTGTGGGGTCCCTGGCAGTTCACGTTGCCACTCAGTCTCTGGGTTATTCCCATTTCACATGTCAGCAAACCAGTGTTCTCCCTGATGGACACGTTCCAGAGGAGGAGCGGAAGAACAGCATCTGCGTCCCTTGTGTCCTCTCCTGCCCTAGCCTGTTGTGGCCGCTTAACCGCTTCTCTTCCCTCCACTCCCCTCGCATCCTCTCTCCTCCTCCTTCTTCTTTCTCGCTGCTGGGTCGTGCAGCTGGCCGGTCCCTCCGCAGCTGGGGTCACTGGGACAGAGAAAGGGAGCAGGAGATGGAAAGTGAACCAAACCACCTGGAGGGGACACTGTGGGCATCCGACAGCACCAGGAAGGCAAAGACAGCCAGAGGAGGTTTCCAGAGGGCCTAGACATGGGCAGGTCATAGAGTCTCGGAGCTGCGCTGGGAAAGCCCTGCTCTGTCCCAGCACCTCATCCACCGCCCCAGCCACAGCAGCTCCGGGCTCACTCTCCAGGGGCCTCTGCTTCTCCATCTGGGTCTGGGCTTCGGCCACTGTGCCCTTCCTGATGGCTTCTTCTGCACTCTTGACGCAGGGCCTGAACAGCATGTTTGAGGTGTATCTGGTGGGGAACAACTCCCACCACTTCATCATCTCCCCGACCTCCGTCCAAGGGAAGGCGGACATTCGTATTCGGGTGGCCATCCCACTGGACTACGAGACCGTGGACCGCTACGACTTTGATGTAAGGCCACACTCACTGGCATTTTGGAGTAGGGTGGGGGTGGATTTCAGGGGAGGCAAGGGTAAGGTAGAAGATTGCCTTAGATCCCACCTTCCACTGCTGCCCATCTTCCCTTGTGGATCTGACTCAGACAAGCCCTCCAAGAGATGGCAGGGGCTGGGCTGAGCCTCCCTTTTCCAAGAAGGACAAGGATATGTCCAGGAATTAAGTGGAATTTTACCAGACTCCCATCAGGAGCTTCTGTAGCCCATATCCTGCCAGATCAGCCCCTGCTAGCTCCTCCTGCCCTAGCAGAATCAGCGGCCATCCCTAGAGCAATGACAGATGGGTTCGCAGTAGCACACAGCTGGGATGGGCAGAGACTCTAACAGGTGATCTGGGCTGGGGCCGGCAAAGGCATGGATAGGACTTATAGGGACAAGGACTCTGGGAGGGGACATGTGGGAGCTTACCTGGGCCCCTGTTCTGCACACCCAGCTCTTTGCCAATGAGAGTGTGCCTGACCATGTGGGCTATGCCAAGGTGAAGATCACTCTCATCAATGAAAATGACAACCGGCCCATCTTCAGCCAGCCACTGTACAACATCAGCCTGTACGAGAACGTCACCGTGGGGACCTCTGTGCTGACAGTCTTGGTGAGTCCCCGCTCTCCCACAGGGCTACTGAGCTCTCCGGGGCCGACTGCGGTAAGGCATCCAGAGGGATTTTGTCCAAGGGACCTGGGCAATCAGGGAAGGAGGCGCCCCCAAATCCCTGAGCTGTGTTTGTTGGTGTATTAAATAAAGTTTCTGGGCTCTTCAGGGTGGGGCTCCCTTGGTCTAGGCGGCGATATGGAAAATGAGCCAACCTGGGGGGAGACGAGACTGGACTGAGGACACTGATTTTCTATCTTTCCCCAAGAGAGACTCAGTGAGGGTGGGCCAGGAGCCCTGGAGGCCCCCTCCAGTGGGAGGGAAGGTGCCGGCCATCTCTGAGAAGGGCGACCCTCTCCATGTGAGCATAGGCACCAGAGAGGGACGGGCTCCGGGGGTATGCCTGGGCATCCCTAGCTGCCCATGGCTGGACTTGTCCTTTGACAAGGGGCCCTCCCAGTGTCATCTGTATCTGTCAGTACTCTTGTTTGCAAGGGGCAGAAACCCTTAAGTAGTTCGAGCAAAAAAGGATCGGCTCACGTAACTCAAAAGTACAAGTGATTTCAGGCCAGGCGCGGTGGCTCACGCTTGTAATGCCAGCACTTTGGGAAGCCAAGGTGGGCGGATTACTTGAGGTCAGGAGTTTGAGACCAGCCTGGCCAACACGACAAAACCCCGTCTCTACTAAAAATACAAAAATTAGCCAGGTGTGGTGGCATGTGCCTGTAGTCCCAGCTACTAGGGAGGCTGAGGCAGGAGAATCGCTTGAACCCAGGAGGTGGAGGTTGCAGTGAGTCGAGATTGCATCATTGCACTCCAGACTGGGCGACACAGCAAGACTCTGTCTCAAAAATAAAAATAAAAAATAAAATAAAAAGTGTAAGTGATTTCAGGCGTGGCTGCATCCAGGCACTCAGTTGAGCAGGGCTCGGTCTTCAACACTAGGTTCTGCTTTTTTGTATTGGCAAAGAGGAGCACCAGCACATCTAGGCTGACTTCTCACCAATTTATCAACCCTAGTGGGAAAAATTCTTTTGCAGTAATTCCAGCAGATTCTCATCGGCCCAGTTGGTTGGGCCATCCTGGAACCAATCGTGATTCTGGTATGCCGGGGAGGGATCACACTCCCCCTAGTGGACCCAGGGGTTGGGGTCAGCCCCGCCCGAATCACACTGGCTGAGAATGGGGGAGGGGCTTCTATTCTAAGACAAGGGATTGAATGCTAAGCAGATCCAAGTGGTAGATGTGTGCCACACAAGCTCAGAGTCTTGCCCATAGTCGGTGCTCAATAAATGTCATGGAGTTTAACTCACTGCTTTCTCCTCCCTGCACACCTGGGGCCCCCAGAGTCCTTGCTTCCATTTCTTGCTCCTCCCCCACTCCAAGCAGAGACACTGCCTGTGATACCAAGACCCCGCTCTGAAGTGTGTTTACTCTACAGACAGATGGTGTGAAACTGCACTGAGCCCCCAGGCCCTTCCCATCTGACAGTTATTAATATTTCAAACAGATGTTTAGCTAGTCAGGCTGTCAGACGAAAACAATAATTCTGCAGCAGCTGTTTCCTCCAACCCCCGCGTCTCTAGCTCATGATTCCTCCAGCTTTCACGAAGGTACTCCCTACAATAAATCACCAGGTGCTTGAGGCCCCCTGGACCCTCCTCCAGCCTCTCAGTGCCCAGCTAGAGAGCAAGTGCCAGAGGCTCTGGCCTTCTGGACCCAAAGTGTGTGTCTTTACCTACCACCCACCTTCGAAGGACTGGGTAAAGGGCAGCCAACAGCCTGTGCCTTGGAGGCCTCAGGGAGTGAAGGGGAGGCTCTGTGCCCTGCAGCTCTGGGACCATGCGGCAAAGAATTCTAGTGTCAGATCCAGGCTCAGTGGGTGTCAGGGGATTCCTCCCTGGCGTTCTTGCTTGGGACAGAGTTTTCTCACTTTGTAGTCCCAAGTTCCCATGGTCCTTGGAAAGGGATGGGGAAAACCTATGGAGCAGGGAGGAGATATGAAATGTGAGAAGGGGCATCCCTCAGTCGGTGGTGCCAAGGACAGCTGTGTCAGGCCTAGTCCAGTTTGGGGCTGGCACTGGGGAGCAGGCTTTGGTGAATGTGAGCCGAGCCCCTCATGCCAGGTTTTTATCTAGAACTGGGGCAGCTGCTGGGCCTGAGCTCAGCCTCCTCTGTGAGTTGCTCGGAATGAGCAGATCCGGCCAGCCTCCCTGGGTTCCTGGCTTCCTTCATCCAAGCCTCACCCACCACCTTCTCAAGCTCCCAGCCCCAGGGTTTATGAAACCATGAAGGGTGAGGGCCCATTTCATCAGGTAACAGCTCTCACAGCGGGACTGTATGCCTAAAGGAGTTCAGGCCCTGCAGGGGGACAGTGGGGACCCCACGTGCTGGCCTATCCATGCCACTCTTAGTGCCTTCATTTTCTCATCTGCAAAATGGGCCCCAGAGCTAGTAGTGACTAAACTGGAATTCTGTTCCTGTAAAGGGGATATAAAAGCATCCTGGGTGACCCACCCAACCCCCTTCCTCTCCCAGTCTCCCCGTGGTATTTCCTGGCCACAACCTCCACACTGCCCTACCCTGCTCTTGGCCTCCCTCACCCGGCAGCTCTCTGCTCAGACCCGGGTCAGCCCAATCTCTCCACTCCTCTGCCATAAGAGGGGCTGAAGTTATGGCTGCCTGCTCAGGGACTGTGAAATTCCTTCCCCCTGACCTTTTCTGGGATGTTATTAAAATGTTTCATGGGCAGTTGTGTCAGGAAAAAAATTATGAAGAAAAGGAAATGTTTTAATTTGCACTGAAGGCAGGAGCAGAGCGTCCCCAGCCCCCATCCTGGCGTGGCCTTGCTTCAGTGGCTAGTCACCTGTCCTGGGGGAAGGTGGTATTTAACATGGCTTGGGGAAACTGGAATAGGAAGGGCTGTCACCACCAGCCCAGCTGTCCTGGCAGGGGTGGAAGGGCCAGACTTTCTCACCTCCCAGCTCCCTGGACCTTATGGCCCCCAGTTACAGCAAAATGAGCTCCCACTGGTGGCAGGAAAAGAGTGGGGACACCCCCACGCACACAGTCTGTGCTGGCAGAAGCCACACGTACAAAAAGCCCACCTTCTGTATGTATACAGGTATTTTGCATATCTGGAATACTGTATTTGCCATCCAAATTTGGTTGAAAAAAATGTTGCATGTAAATGAACCCACACAGTTCAAACAGGTGCTGTTCAAGGGCCAACTGTATCTCTAACCTGTTAAGTAGGTGCTGTTATTCTCACTTTACAGATGAGGAAACAGATGAGGCTCGGGGAGTTAAGTAACTTGCTCAGGGCCCCAGGGCTAGTAAGTGACTAAACTGGATTCACACAGCGACTCCATTTCCCAAGCCACAGGCTCTGAACCACGAGGCCGCCCATCCAGAAGGTTCTATGTGGGACCACTGAGCCTAGCCCTTTCAGCAACCTTCAGAGCTGAGGGTAAAGAGAGGAGCTGGAAAGTGCTGTCTGCGGTACCCGTGGGGACAGGTCCCAGGGTCGCTCCAGGCAGTGTGTTCTTCCGTGACACTCAAGACTTTTAGGGCCTGTGGCACCACCAGGTGAATTTTCACATCTCTGAGCCCTAAGCTGCTCCGGGGACAGAGCTGTGTGTGTTTTCAGTGATGGAGAAACCGCTTCAGAGATACTCAAGCACTTTGCTCAGGGAAGCAGGAATACCAAGGCAGCCCAGAGCCGTCTCCATTAGGAAAGGCTCCCTGGAAGGAGGGAGGGTTCAGGATGAATGTGCTCTGAAGGGTGATCACACAGAGGAAGGATGTGCGGGGATGCATATGTGTATATGTGGGCAGGCATGTGAAGTATGCTTGTGGGATGTGTATGGGGGTGTGTGTAGGCAGGCATGTTTTTTGTGCCTGTGCATGTACATGTGTTTGCGGCTGTGTATACTCAGAGGTATGTGTATGTAATATACACGTGTGTGTGCATGTGTGCCTGTGCACATGCATGTTACAACTACATGCATTTGGGTATGTGCGCACACTATATGCATACATGTGTGCACACGTGTGTGTACATGTATGTGCCTGTGCTGATGCATGGATGATGCTGGTGGCTCCCCATCCTCTAGGTTGTGTGGTTTGTTCTCTCTCATATCGCAGGCTGCTCTGTGATTCACACCTTCCAGTCCTGCCTCCTGAGCTGGCAATAGAAGTCAGATGAGAAGACCAGGGAGTGTCTTATCCTGGGACCATGCTAGGCTTGGGGCAGCCCTGCAGCCTGGCCAGTGTCTGGGGCCTGGCAGGGTTTGTGAGTACTACTGGGCAGTACAAGAGGTGCAAGAGTAATCTAATCATTTATTCATTCATTCATTCAATAAATGTTTGTTGAATACCTGCTATGTGCTAGGCACATGGCCCTGAGGACACATGGTGATGTGAGTCTTATAAAGTTCACAGTCAGCCGGGCACGGTGGCTCACACCTGTAATCCCTGCACTTTGGGAGGCCGAGGCAGGCAGATCACGAGGTCAGGAGATCGAGACCATCCTGGCTAACATGGTGAAACTCTGTCTCTACTAAAAATACAA